AAAAGATTTCTCAAAGAGCTACTAAGCTATTATCTCTAGTCGCTAGCGCAATAATTTATGCATCCGCATTCTATGCATGGGCATGCCATGCCCATGGCCCATCCCAATCCCATCGAGCAATTCCAATCCCATTGACATGCCGATGTCCATGCCATGCCATGGCCATTCCCTCATCCAGCGTCGCACTGCATCCATCCCATCGCCATCCCATCCCATCCCATCCATCCCATCTCATCCGAGATGCCATGCCTATGCCATCCATGCGGCATCCGCATGCATTCCTCGCGCATCCCGATTTCCATCCAAATAGTAAAAAATAATAAGGAAATCAAAGATAAGCACATTTAAATATAAATAATTAAAAATTTAAAAAATTAAAAATAATATATACTAATAGAGGTAGGTAAAGGGAAAATAAGTTTCCCAGCTGGGACTCAAACCCCAGCGAATCCCGAGTGTAGGAGCACGTGATGTTCTAGCGATTAGGCCCACTGCGCCGTTAAAGGTAATACGCAGATGGATTCAGTAACGTACGCGGATGTTAGATTGTACGCGCACGCGTCATCATTGGTGAATAGAAGTTTTTATGAATTCTTTTAATCTTTAATTGTTTTAACATTTTGTTTTCTCTGCAGACACGGCAATTCCCAGACGCTGCTGATGTGTGAAAATAGATCTTTTAGTTTTTCGGTCTAGGCAGCGGGAGTTCTAGTTATCGCGAGTACGAAAGCTATATTTGGCTGAACGGAGAGCTGTATCTAAGAGTATCCATGTGTATAATATAAAAAACAATCAGCCTAATATAATATTAAATATTATAGGCTTATATATTATCATATTTATATATAATATTATATATACAATACTACAGACAGAATCTTTGCATCATAGTGAGCGGATTAAGCAGCATTGCAGAACGCGTACATACATGAGGTCCTGAAATTTTCTGATACAGTATATTGCCAATTGATAAGCGCTATTGAATACCTTCTCAATTTATTTAAAAAATAGGCTAAAATGATGCGCAGGTATCTATACTTGATACATAGCAGCAATTTAGTTGAGTGTAGTGTTATCGTTTTAGTTGTAGGATAAAATTAGGTTGAAACAATAAAATTAGTGGTGAAAAATAGATGAGAATTTTTCTTCGCTATTCATCGACTGATATAGGAGTGTTCAGCTGCGTCATATGACAGGTGACGTGTATTTTGTTATGTGTCATGGTTGGCAGAAGCGAAGCGTTGCTGCTCTGACAATTTACAGATGAATGAGCCACATGTTCTTGTAGAGAAGCGCTGTTTAATGTAGTGGGCACTACACGTGCGTGCTGCGTGCGTGCGTGCGTGTGCAACGTACACGTGCATGCTGCGTGTGTGCGTGCGTGGCGTGCCGTGTTAAACTTCACGTGCGTGCGTGGCGTGCGTGTCGCACGTACACGTGCGTGCATGCGTGTGTGTGTGGGGCGTGGCATGTAACACGTGCGGCAATGCGTGTTTGTGCTGCGTGCGATGGCGTGTGCAGGTAGCACGTGTGTGCATGCCCTGCGTTGGTGCGTACGTGCGTGCGTGGCATGCATTTGCACTAGACGGTTCGTGTCGTGCGTGCGTGCGTGCGTGCGTGCGGTCGTATGTAACGCTGCTGTCTGCGTGCGTGTGCACGTATACGTCGTGCGTGGCGTGCGTGCGTAGTGCCTCATGTGTGCGGTGCGTGTGAAAGTACACGTGCGTACGTTACGCTGCGTGCGTGCGTGGCGTATGTTACGTCACACTATGCGTAGAATGCGTGCGTCGCGTGCGTGTGCCGTAGACACGTGCCGCGCGGTGCGTGCGTGCGTGTGTGAGTGCTCGTGCGTGTTCAGCGTACACGTGCGTGCGTGTGTCGTGCAGGTACCTGATGCGCTGCTGTGGCACGTTACACATGCGTGCGACGTGCGTATGCACATATACGTGCGGGCGTGGCGTGTGCACGTACACCCTGCGTGCATGCCGTGCGTGGTGCAGGTACACGTGTGTGCATGCGCGCGTGGCGTGCGTTTGTATGTACCTGGCGCGGTGCGTATCTGCATATGGCACGTACACATGCGTTGCGTGCGGTGCGTGTGGCTCGTAGACGTGCGTGCGTGCGTCGCGTGTGCACGTACCGTGCCCGTGCATGCGTGAGTACGTGCGTGTGCACGTACACGTGCGTGCATGCGTGCGTGCGTAAATGTGCACGTACACGTGCATGCGTGCGTGCGTGCTGAATGTGCTTGAATGTGGCGCATGCGTGCCTGCGTGCGCTGTGCACGTACAACGTGCGTGCGTGCGTGCGTGTGTGCCGCGCGTGTGGCAAGTACACGTTCGTGCGTGCGTGTGAACTTACACGTGCGTGCGATGCGTGCGTGCGTCCGTGTGTGTGCACGTACACGTGCGTGCGTGCGTGTGTGCGTGTGTGCGCGCGTGTGCAGGTACATGTTCGTGCGGCGTGCGTTCGTGTGTGCGTGTGCACGTACACGTGTGTGCGTGTGTGCGTGTGCACGTACACGTGTGTGCGTGCGTGCGTACGTGCGTGCGTTGCGTGGTGGCGCTACGTGCGTGCATGTGTTGCAGGTCACGTGCGTGCGTGCGTGCTGCATGGGCATGTTTCACGTAGACGTGCGTGCGTGCGTGGCGTGCGTGTTCACGTACACGTGCGTGCGTGCGCTGCGTGCGGGTGTACGTACACGTGCGTGCGTGCGTGCGTGAATGTGCTTGTATCGAACAATATACGCTCTGCTTGCTGCCAACCGTTAAACTGCGCATGTGCGCATATGACGTCAATGTTTATCAACATGAAACACTCCTATATCAAAATCGGTCTAGTTTGCATAAGCATGCTATATGTCAAAATGTCCCTTATTTAGTAGGCAAACACGTTATGTAAACAAGATTGCAGTGACGATGATTTAATAGCGGTTACATGCTGTATTACCAAACATAACACGTAATGGATGCAACCGGCATTGTTCACGAAATAAATGTGTACCTTCACACGCACTTGATACTCGTGTTCCTGTTGGGTTTTTGATATAGTGTCAATTGAGCAGAAATGTGAAACTGAACATGTGTACTAAATGAGCCCATGATAATTTTCTAATATAGTGCCAATTGAACAGTGCCACCACGTGGTGTACGGCGTCCCCTGTCGGTTTAACTGGTATCGTTATACCACCATTTGGGATTTGGCTATAATTTCAATAATACTCATCTAATTTAGTCAAAAAATAGCTCAAATGATTCGCTGGTATCTCTACTACTACTATAGCAACAATATATAAGTGTAGCTGTCTTTGCGTTAGAATAAAATTAGGTCGAAACAATGAAAAGGGTTCATCGCTGCATTCTACATTACCTGCATATATATATATATTTGATTATATTACCATATTTATTTTTCATTCAGTAGTTCAGTTTAGTATAGACACCGTACATTGCCTATCACATGCACAAAGAGCAATGCAATATAGCGGCAGAAAAGATAAGTGAGGGGGTGTAGAAATAGACGGAGGCTGAGCGAGGAACAAGAGAGGCAAGGGAAAGGACGGGAGGGGATTAAGTAGCAGTTTTGCGCTAACACACGTAACAAGATTGTGTACTGACTGGCATATGCAACGGACACCTTACATGCAAGGTCTTCTTCCTATTTCTTAAGAGAGGTCTACTGATTGAATTCTATCATATAAATCTATGCTATAGGGTAACTCCTCCTCATTTTAAATGCATAATTCTTGCAAAATATTCATCTTCTCGGGAGATATTACGCATGCGCGAGCACCGTTTTAGGCGTGCAATACGGACTGAAGAAACCTGCATAATATAGCTTGCCGAGAGAGAGAGGGGTGGGAGACTGAGGAAAGGCGGCAGGAAAGATATCTGAGGGGGTAGAAAAACACCGAGGCTGAGCGAGGGACAAGAGAGGCAAGGGGAAGGACGGGAGGGGATGAAGTAGCAGTTTTTCACCCTACAGATGGGGCGCTCTCCTAATTATGAACACAGGGCTACTAATAAAACTTTATTACAGATTCTATGCTGAGATACCCCCTAATCATATTAAATGCATATTCATTACAAAATATAACACCGTTTCAAACGTGCAGTACGAACAGAAGAAACCTGCATAATATAGCTTGCCGAGGGACACAGGGGTGGGAGACTGAGGAAAGGCGGCAGAAAAGATAGTTGGGGGGGGGTAGAAAAAGACGAAAGCTGCTCAGGGACAAGAGAGGCACGGGGAGGACTGGAGGGGATGAAGTAGCAGTTTTGCATCCTACAGGCTAGCGCGCTCTCCTAATTATAAACACAGGTCTACTGATAACAATTTATCATATAAATATATGCTGAGATACCCGCTAATATTATTAAATGCATATTCATCACAAAATATAACTCCTCTTGTGAGATATTGCGCTTGCGCTAACGCACTAACGTAGCCAGTTTGTGTACTGACTGGCATATGCAACGGACACCTTACATGCAATGTCTTCTTCCTATTTCTTAAGAGAGGTTTACTGATTGAATTCCATCATATAACTCTATGCTAGGATAACTCCTCTTTTTTTTAAATGCATAATTTTTTCCAAAATATTGTTCTTCTCGAGAGATATTACGCATGCGCGAGCACCATTTCATGCGTGCAGTACAGACTAAAGAAAACTGCAAAATATAGCTTGCCGAGAGAGAGGGATGGGAGCCTAAGGAAAGGCGTCAGGGAAGATACCCGAGTGGCAGTAAAAAACGCCGGAGGCTGAGCGAGGGACAAGAGAGGCAAGGGGAGGACGGGAGGAGATAAAGTAGGAGTTTTGCACCCTACAGGCTAGGGCGCTCTCCTAATTATAAACACAGGTCTACGAATAAAAATTTATTACAAAAACCTATGCTGCGATACCCCCTAACCGTATTAAATGCATATTTATCACAAAATATAACTCCTCTGGTGAGATATTGCGCATGCGGTGACACACTATCGTAGCCTATTGTGTACTGACTGGTATATGTGGCGGGCACCTTACACGCAAGGTCTTTTCCCTATTTCTTAAGAGAGGTTAACTGATGTAATGTTATTATATAAATCTATGTTAAGGTACCTAACTTCATTTTAAATGCATAATTTCTTCTTCTCGAGAGAGTTATTCTTGTTATTCTTACTTCTCTTTATTCTTGTTGTTTTTGCACAGTGGCGTGCGTGCGGGTATGCTTGTCTCTTGCAGAGGAGTATTTGAACGGCATTTACAGGGAAATATCGACATTAATAAGGAAAAGAGAGTAGAGAAACATTACGACTTTGGTAGTAAACACATTTCGTGTGTATTCACCATCATTTTACTATTGAAACGTTCCAAGTCCCTGTGGCTACGGCGGCCTGGCAGGACAGATGTGACGTCACGAGCTAGTGATCGCCCACAGCATTTGTTATCGGAGCGCGGTAATTTCGCATATGTTAGC